AGACAAGTGTTCATCGATGCTACCAATTTTTGTTCTCGTTTCATTGTTGTTTTTAACGTTTTTGGGAGGGAGTCGGGGCTAGAGTTAATTATCTAGGGCCCTATAATACAAAAAAATTAGAAATTTAAGATATAACAGCGGTAACAGCGGCATTAAAAAAAAACAAAACAACAATTAAAAGCATTAGTTAAACTTTTCTCTTCCTTAAGCATTTTATGTGTTAACCTTCTTTATCGAAATAGATGTCTCAGCTGAAATAATGAGGAAATCTCTGAGCACGGAATTGAGACATGGAAAATTGTCCTAAATACCTATGTTTTCAGATAGGCAAAGCCGCCCGAAGTGCCACACGGCATAATGAGCATGAGTGAGTGAGTCAGATAGGCAAAAATCCGCAAATCTTCATGTTCCCGTATTCTCCTTAGTGGGCTGGTTAAGTTACAAGACAGCACAGTAAAAGTAAAGTTATAGGGAGAAAAAACCATCGAAATCGTTTCTTCATAAATTCCTGGTCTTAAGAAGACCGTAGAAAATGAAATGGAGGCAATGCATAATTCAAGGCACGAATAAAATTTAGTGAATGTTTTGCCCCCTTGATGTTCTACAACCCTGCTGTTCAATGTTCTTACATGATTTTAAGAACCTCAATGCAGTAATGTTTTTGTGATGGCTAAAAGATTCCAAGGATTCTGTTTTCGATTATAAAACGACGAATGTAATGTTATTTTTTGCGTGGCTTTGAGGAGTTATAAATGAGTGGTTTTCCTTTAGCGGAAGTAGTATTGCTATGGCAGTCAGTGTTTAACTTCCCGAACTGATTATTTCATGAATGCTTGATTAAAAACCAGGCAAATCATAATTTATCCTTTGTTAAACGTAAGATGCAAGGTTCAAGATGAAGACTATAACACACACGATGCTTCGCATAGGAAATCTTGCAAGTTTCACCACAATATTCTGTTTTTCTAACATCTGCATTTCCTTGATTGTTAATTCCATATTCTACATATGCACGTACTTACTTCGTTTCAAGGCGCTAATGAAACACATTTAACGAAAGATGAATCGTAATCGTTGGAAAATAAGTCCACTTGAACTTTATTCGAACAATTTGGTCTATACACAATTGCAAAAAAAGCACGATGTAATTTATCCCCTGCCTAAATAAAGTATTCTCTATGTCGTTGAAAACGCGAATAAGACCAGTCGACAGTTAAAAGACAACTATCTGATAACAACTCGAATAGTAAACAGGGCCTTTAGAGCGACGCTAAATGAGTTCCTTGAAAAATTCACGCCTCTTAGGTGAGGCAAACCTCATGTCCTGAAAGCTGTCTTCGAAACAATTTCACAATTCTCTACTAGAACATTTTCTTGAATTCATGTAAAGTTCTTTGCTTCAGATACAAAACAAAAGTATAACGAATGTTGAAAAAAGGTCGTCCGTACATAAGTTCTAAAGATTGTTTGACAGTTTACAATTTCAGAAATTAAACCATTCGTGCATCGAGACTAGTACAGTTGAAATTTAAACAATAGAGACTTGAGGATTAGAAATGTGGATCATACAGTTTTTCCAACGTTTTATTTCTTTAATTAAATTGAAGTTCGAAATTATTGAGCTATTTTTCAGTGGCATATCATACCTATTGAGAACTTAAACAATTTTAAGTGCACCTTGAAAATTCGAGCAACTTCTACTGAAGAGTTAGGCAAGCTGGAATGATGAGATAATTTATTACAGACGTCATTTGGTGTCTCATAGAAAGACGTAAACAGCATCTGATATGTGCCTTGTCTGTCATCTTGAACAAAACATTTAATATATTAAATAAAAGGGGAAAAATGTATTATTTATTCTAGTAAAAATGCGCCTAAACTATGTTTTAAAACTCCTACAGAGTGCGTGAAGCCAGCTAAATGTTTTATCGTGAACAAATTGTCGGGATGATTTTACCATGCGGACGGAAAAAGTTGTACTCTTTGTCTAACTTGTGGTGACGAAGCTGTGGGAAGAAGAGCGAACGATTTTACAAGAATAGGAACTTTTGAAATAATTTCGAGTCATTATTACGTGTTGATTTAACGTTGCTTGAGACAAGACAAAAGACAATTCAATAAACTATGAGTAATATTAAAAAACGTGAGCAAAATTCAAGAAACTGTGTACGACGAAAAAAAAATTGACATTTTTGCAGCGATAATAGTTTATTTGAACTACATTGGCGACGACTCATTAAAAACTGTCTAGCTAAAAGATATTTAGCGATAAATTTTAAGTATTTGGCGGAACAATGCAAATTTACACCGCATTTAATTTGATCTGTTTGTCCTCACTGTCAACTTGAATTTGTATTGTAGCTCTGATGCCTTTGAGGTTCGAGCAATTCATTTGTATTGCGTGTGCTTGACGTCTGTGAATTATGCTCATTATGGCTTTCGCGCAAAATTGAGCCGTATAAACTTATATAGATAAATTCTAACACGAATCGTCAGTATTTGCTGGAAGACTTCCTCGAGGCCAGAGCAAGTTTTCAAGCTAAAATTACGCGACAGGTTGATGAAAGTCCTTTCTTAATTAAAGAACTAACTTTCAAAACCTCGAACAAGTGCAATAGTTCTTAAGATAAAAAGGGAAAAAAATTCAGTTTTCCCTGCCCGTACAAATTTACTCAGCCCCTACTTGTCTTCAGGAAGTTGCATACACCGTAAGTGGGACACTTTTGATTGATATAAACATAAGAGTGTATGTTATATGTTTAGAGCTTTGCGTATAGATTATGCAATGGAAGGCTTGACGTTTCTTGAGACTAGCAATATTTCCTTGTCGAAGACATTCTTCTCTTATTAGTTTTTCGTTAGCGATCCTTTATTTATTTATTAGTACACAGTGGAGTTTCCTTAGATACACACTGGATTATTTTAGAACTTGAAGGAAATCTTCTTAAACAACCTTTAAAAGCTACTTTAGACCGAATTTGGTGTTTCATAATAATAATTTGTCAAAGAAACCTGTTGAAAATTACGCTCATTGATCGTGATGACATTTGCGCAGTTTTTCGTAAACAAATATTTGATCTTTACCATGGTTCAGTGACATTGTAGAGCGAAAAAGGAAGTTCTTATCTAAAGTTAATCATCGTTTTGGCCTGAAACCAGGTGTTTCTGTGGTAACCATAGCTACCATATTGTTACAAAAGAAAGCACTTTTACCTAAAAAGCAGTGAGGGAACAAAGAGCTTTGCATCTTGAGAGGTAATAGTTTATCATATCGAAAACACCGATGGATGATTTGAGTAATACTTTCCCTGGAAAATTTATATTCTTTACGGAAAGGATATTTAGCCGCGGCTCCTTTAATTCTGCATACCAAAGGAAAAAGGTTGGCTTCACTCCCAAATAAGGGTACGGTGCGGTTTTAAAAGAAAATTATCTTGAGGTCTTTTTCAATGAAAGCAGATTATCAATACTCGAGGTTTACTAAACCTTTACATGATTACTTCTATGCACCACAAAAGTTCTGGTAAATAATATGTTGCTCTGTTTATCTAAAAAATTACCAAAAGGTCGCCAAAGTCTGATCCCCGTCTAAAATGTTGAATGTGTTAAGAACAACTTAGAAAGGATTATTCATCAGTTATAGTTTAGAAGCCTTGTATTTGAATCTTTCTTGCCCTTTTGGTTACTGAACTTTGTAGATGAATAAAGAGTTTAAACAATCTTCGGCATTTTTATTTCATAAAAAATGAGGATAATCAGCAGCTTATAAATGTTAATTAGCCAACTTGTTAATCTGAATTTTTGTCGAGTTTGAGTCGTTGTCACTTCACATTTGGAACCAATATTTCGAAATGAAGATTTTAATGCTTGAACATTCGTTCTTCTATGGGGCGTAAAATGATCAGGCCTATCGAGAGGACATTTCAAAATGCCTTAAGCAGATCAAAGTTATCATTCCACAGAAACCGAAGGAGCCTTCAAAATTAAAGTTTAATGTGAGCTGTGCTGATCTTCCTTGACGATTGACATCCTATCGAACTAGAAAGTGCCTGAACGAATTTACGGCCAAGGTTTTAATATACGTGTAGTATTATGGCTATATGGCTTCATCTGATATCAAACAAGTTTTGTTGAGAGGAAACTCGTCTTTTTTCTTTCTATGATCCTATTCTCAATATTTTCAGATTCAGCTCAAGCAAAGAAGTATGTGGTGGCTGTTCTGCCATTTAATATTCGTCCTTTTCGCTTCTATCATGGAGTTTGTCGCAGCTAACGATCAATGTAGGACAGAAATAAACATACAAGGAATGGCTCTCGAGGGTTATGTCTTCAAAAGGTGGTCACTGGAGGCTCCTCATCTCTGCGATGTCAAATGTGGACAGGAGATCACGTGCCAAAGCTATAACTACAATCGAAAATTTCAAATATGTGAACTAAATAACCGCACCAAGGAGGCGAGACCAGAGAATTTCCTTTCAGCACCCGCGTGGTTTTACATCCGGCGATTGAACGGCAGAGGTAAGAAATCAAATGTCTCTCTGTGTGACTTCTATTTCTCTTAAATCTTCTCCATCCTCAGCCTGGTTCTTTCTCACCTGGAAGAGCTAAGAATAGGAAGTGAATGTAAAACATATCTTTACTGCAGCACCCTTAGGTTCTATCCCTGAATTACCGGCGCTGTCTTGTCACGAAATAAAGGCGAGTGAAGGTAAACACACCATAAGCGGCAAGTACTGGTTGGATCCAACCAGGAAAGGAAAGGCGAAACTGATTTACTGTGATATGGTTAAAGAAGGTAGGTCCTATAACTTTGCTTGAGTTATTTTATTTTGTGACGAGTTATCAGTATTGTGAAATTATTATAAATTATACTATTATTGATATCATTATCGTAATATCTAGTTTGGATCAGTTCTAGCGTGGATGCCTCTCAAGTTGCTCTAACTTACTCACCACTTCTCTTTCAACATTTTAGATATGGATGAATGTAAATTTAATATCAGTGACTGTGACGTGAATGCAAACTGTACTAACACATATGGTTCTTACAAATGCACATGTAAAGTGGGATACACCGGCGATGGACACTCGTGTTCAGGTAGTGTTAATATTTCCATATATAACTAATTTTTGTTAATCGTCTCATAATTTTATGCAGCGTTGTCCATGCATGTTTATGCACAGAGTTACCACGATCTACATATTTTGTTACACATTTTGTAATGATAAGAGGAATTACATGACTATGGGTCATAAAAATGATAAAGTGAAAAATTTATCAATAGTTTCTCAGATATTTACGAGTGTAAAGGAAATCACTCTTGTCACGTGAATGCTACATGCACGAACACCAAAGGATCGCACGTTTGTACTTGTAACCCCGGATATACTGAAAATGGAAGCGACTGCACAGGTACTTAATGCGTTTCCTTTGGAATCATTCCCATTAGAAAGAAAAGCACTATCATCTTTGCAAGAGTTGTTTTACCAACATACCTTGTATAAAAAGAGATGAGTGTAGGCCTGAAGACAATGGCGATAATGACACCATTGTATTCAATAAACAGTCAGTGGTAAAAAATCTCAAGGAGACTTGATGGATAGGCTTACAGGACAGAAAACCGGATTTGAAATTGGGGAAACTGAGAAAAAAAGTGGTAAGTGGTAATGTGAAGTGCTCACGTCTAGAACCACAAGACAAAGGCTTCTCATCTTATGCTCGGCAACTTTTCTCCAATTAGAATTTTTTTTATGTTTATGATTTTACAGATATTGACGAGTGTAAAGGAAATCACTCTTGTCTCGTGAATGCTGCATGCATGAACACCCTTGGATCACATGTATGTCAATGTCACGCTGGATATACTGGAAACGGAACAAACTGCACAGGTAAATTTAATCTCTTCTCTACAATGTGTAGAATAGTCCTGCATGACACGTTCGACTACAGTGCCGCGCAGTTCAGCTGCGTTGCAAGACAATTAGACGATTCATCACGAAGAAACTTGGTCATTTTGTCCTCACGTGTTCACCTCCTCGAGTATTCAAGTCGCTATCTTATGAGAATATAAACTGTAACTGTAAACCATTATATATATTATATTTATATAACAGCACATGTTTAGCTGTCATGGCGGCTGGACCGACCTGGGCGAGCTCGCTACAATTTCTAGTACTCCTGCTTGGAACAGCAGTTTTAATCCAAGAGAGTATAAGTGGCGACTTTTTAGGGTCTTACCAGGCTACAAGCGTCTCAAAGACGTTTATTGCACCTGAAGTCGTCTCATATTTGACAAACCACAGAAGATTTAAACCTCGTGCTAAACGATTTACTTCACGGAGGGTCCCACACACGGTCAAAGGAATAAGCAGCTTCAATCTGGAAAGGGATGTGCTTCTGTGCGGGGACGTGGCCATAAATCCTGGCCCGAAAGGGAAGAAGTCTATGTTGAAATACCCATGCAGTGAATGCCACAAAGCAGTTAGAAACAACCAAAACGCCATCTTGTGTGCCACATGTGGAAACTGGTCACACGCTAAATGCCTCAATATGTCTCGGACTATTTTCCAGTACTACTTAGACCAGCCTGATATTGATTGGACCTGTCCAGCTTGTGCTCTACCGCCACTAACGGACTCCTTCTTTGAAGAAGTTTCTGAAGGTGATACACTAATTCCAGCCGAGGAGTATCAAGCGGAAACAACTCAAAATACGGCCTTCGAGCAGTTTCTTTACAGAGATGTCACAGAAATTACTTCTGAAAACGATCAGCTAGAACTCTTTAGGAAACATCACAATAAGGATTTCTTAATTGCCCACTTGAACATTAACAGCATCCAAAATAAATTTGAAGAACTGACCGAAGTAATCAAGAAAATCAACGCCCACATAATGTTCGTAAGCGAGACCAAGATCGACGCGAGCTATCCCAACGCTCAGTTCAAAGTTCCGAACTACTCCCTCTACCGAAATGATAGGAAAAAGGGCGGCGGTGGAATTATGGCTTTAATATCTCAATCGCTAGTCAGGACACAGCTTAAACCTGATAAATCCTTTAAGACACTGGAAATAATTGCCTTCGAAATCAAAACAGATATGGACAATATGGTAATTGTTGGTATCTATCGTCCCCCGAGAGCTCTGTGTGGCGAATATCAAACACTGTTGGAAAGCGAACTCAGTTATGTCTGTAACTGGGCAAGCTTGAACGGAAATTTTGTTGTAGTTACTGGCGACCTAAATCTGAACAGACTTCGCCCTGACAAACCTGAAGGTAAACTGCTTCTCGATTTTGAAGTTGAACAAGGTTTTGAATGTCTAATTACTAAGCCAACAAGAATAGAAAAGCGTGGAATAATTATAACAGAGAGTTTAATAGATGTTTTGCTCACTAATAGACCGGATAGCTTCCAGCTATCTGGTAATTACCATCCTTGCTTAAGTGATCACAACCTTGTTTACGGTGTCCTGAAGCAGAAAATAAATCACAACAAACCAAAGGTCATCACATTTAGGAGCTATAAGAACTTTGACCCTGAACATTATAAACAGCTTTTGTCCTCTGCCCCATGGCACGTTGGACAATTGTTTGATGACGTCGACGATCAAGTTTACGTGTGGAATGCACTTATGAACAATATACTGGACGAAGTGGCACCTGTGAAAAAAATGCGTGTGCGTGATAAAGATGTGCCCTACATGACGTCTCATTGGAAAAGTGCGATTAGAACTAAACGCAAAGCAAATGACAAGTACTTGAAAGACAAAACGCCATAAAATTGGGAATTACGACGTAAAGCCAGAAACGAGGCCACTAAACAAAGAAGAATCGCCATCAAACAGTACTGGTATAATAAGTCAAACGATTTGAAAATCAATCCCAAGGCGTTCTTCAAAACTTTCAAGCCATTTTTGGGCTCTAAGAGCCGTACTGAAAGAAACGACATCCACTTAAAAATAAACGGCAGTATGATAACGAATCAACAACAAGTGGCTGAGGAATTGGTTGAGCATTTTGCTACCTTGGCGGATGGCATTGGCGGTACAGCGATTGAAAGAAAGTCAATAGAGGACTTTAGAGACCATCCTTGTGTTCAGAGGATACAACATGAAAATAGGAATTCCACTCAGACCATCGAAATCGAATTGGTTACACAGGGACAAGTCCTTGCAGTTCTCGATTCGCTGAACATAAACAAAGCCACCGGCACTGATGGAATTCCTTCAAAGGCTTTAAAAACAGGTGCTAATGAATTATCCGCTCCACTAACCACCTTGTTCAATTCTTGTATTAACAAGAATGCATGGCCTAGTGAATGGAAGTATGGGCATTGGGCCCCAGTATACAAAAAGGATGACAGGAATGCAAAGGAAAACTACCGGCCCATAACTCTCTTACCATGTGTAAGTAAAGTTCTTGAGAAGTTGGTTGGAGCGCAGATCAACTCTGGCTTTGGTAATCGCATTTACCAACACTCATCCGCTTATCGCAAAGCTCACAGCTGCGAAACAACATTGATCAATTTAGTAGAAGATTGTAGACTGGCGAGGGATCGAAAACAGGTTGTGAGCATACTTTCAACTGACATGTCAAAGGCATTTGACTCGTTACACCCACCACTACTTCTGAACAAGCTTGAAGCGTACGGTTTTCAGGAAAGCGCTATTCAACTTTTAAACAGCTATTTAAATGAACGGAAATATCAAGTAAAGATCGGCCGTCATGTTAGTTCGAGCCGATTCGTGAGTCGTGGCTGTCCTCAGGGTTCCGCGCTTGGCCCGTTGTTATGGAATGTTTTCCAGAATGACCTATCCTACTGCCTAACAGCGAACTTGTCTATGTATGCCGACGACCATCAAATTTACCACGCAGGAGCAGACCAGGCAGCTGTGACTTCCCAGTTAAAGGATAGTGCCAACTTAGCAACAACGTGGTACGATTCTAACTTATTGGCGGGAAACCTCAAAAAGTACCAAGTTTTGAACTTGGGCTTCACTCAAAATGACAGCAATATTTGCGTGAATGATGTTGTGATTGAAACTAAAGATAATATCATACTTCTAGGAGTAGTGTTAGATTCTAAGATAAATTTCTCTGAGCATGTAATCTCTATCTGTAAAAAAGCCAGCCAGAGAATTGGTGTTCTAATGAGACTACGTAATTTAATTCCTATGAAATCTAAGTTAATATTATTCAAAAGCGCGATATTACCATTCCTCACGTACTGTCACCTAGTGTGGCATTTTTGTAAAGCGAGTGACACTCGAAAGCTTGAAAGACTACAAGAAAGAGGACTTAGAGCGGTTTTCAAGGATAATAATTCTAGTTATGAACAACTATTAGAGAAGGCAGATCTGCCAACACTACTAAATAGTCGCTTACAGGATCTGTGCATCCTTATGTATAAAGTAAAGCATAAACTGTGCCCTGCATATATAAGTAACATCTTTAAAGAACCAAATAGTAATTACAATCTGCGGCAAGCAGATTTCTCTATACCTAGGTATGAGACAGTCACCTATGGCAAGCACTCTATTAGATATTTAGGGCCTAGGCTATGGACAAAACTACCCAAGAGTATCAGGGACGTCACAACCCTAACGTCGTTTAAAAGCAAGATACGCCAACTCAATATAAGTGAACTTTTAGATGACGGCTGCGCAGGCTGTAGCCTTTGTTCATTTTGACTTCTGTGTATTTTTACTATAAATCTCTTAATGAGTTAACTATAGATATTTTACCTACTACTGTATATAGTTTTTTTAGTTTGTATATTCTCCCCTAATTGGTGTCCCCAAATTAGTAAGGGATTTGTTCCCTGGCTAGACGGTTTTTGACACTTTAATAAAGTTTCTATTCTATATTCTATTCTATTCTATTCTGTTACAATCTCTTGGTATCGAGTTGAACAAGAGAAGAGAAGTTACATGACGGCAAGCAACCATGTACTATTTTGATTATCATATAAACACGATCGATCTTTACTGAGAATGAAAAGTGACTTTTTAAAAGAATGATATGATAGGTTTCACAATCCGCGAAAAAAAGTCGTAAAGCGCGTCGGCGATAAGGGTCAAGATGAAAAAATTGCGTTGAATCATTACAGAAACGGAGAAAGGGCGTAACTTTCTTTTCATAAAATTCTCAGTTGACTTTTTCCTTACCGAAAGAAAAATATTTTCATGTAAAAGACAAAAATAAGCCTTTACTAAGAAAAAAATAGAATTTTTTAAAGAATAAAATTAGAATTTTCACAATCCGCGAAAAAAAAGTCTACCAAGGAAGGCTAGCAAGGCTAATCTTTGACGATTGATATCCGACTACAGTTTGGAACGGTGTCTCGAGAGAGATTCCGCTGCAGTGGAAGTTTTTCAGTTTAGTCTAAATAAATAATTAATTTGTCAAAATGATAAATAACTTAATGCTCTTTCACATCATAAAAGTTTAAAAAACGAATGTATATCTCACTCGTGTAACCACTAACGTTGTAGAATTTTTCTTTTCTTTCCCATTTTTTTAGATATCGATGAATGCCAAAAAAATACTCACAATTGTCACCTGAACGCTACTTGTCAAAACGTTAATGGATCCTTTGTGTGCACCTGTTTATTTGGATTAAACGGAGATGGACGGAACTGCACAGGTAAAGGCCTTTAGATTGTAATTGCCACGTTATGACTTTATTTGTTTGCTTGTGTTTTTATTTTTAACTGTTTGTTTATTTTGTACGTACCTTCCCTGTTTGTTTGTTTTGATAAAGTAGTTACCCTTGCCTTAATATTTTTTACCAAAAAAAGAAAATGATCCCAATTGAAAGCAAGAGGACGAAATGCACTCAATGCTCAAAATAAGGAGGTTTATAAATGTATCATACTCCAAGAATCGTGATTGAAAGCCTGTCATTTCTCAGATATTGACGAATGTGCAAGAAATCTTTCTTGTCATGTGAATGCTAACTGTACCAACACAATTGGATCACATGTATGTACATGCCACACTGGATACACTGGAGACGGACAAACTTGCTCAGGTGATTTTGATAACTTTCCTTCAATGTCCAGAAAAGTCCTTTATGACCAAAGAGAGGCAACCTCCATTGCTGCTCTTTCTATACATACAATCCCAGCTACTCAAAGCGGGAGATAATCTGAAACGTCTTTTTAGCTCAAATTAAAAGGCCGGAAGTCAATCATTTATCCTAAAATTCATCCCTCATTAAAAATTGTGGATTGTTTTGTTTTTTCACATATCCTTTGAGATTAGATTTGCAGTATTTTGGATAAGTATTCATTATATCTTGATTCACCAAAACATTTTTCATCATAACATCCAACTCTGGGTTGTGACGTGGTGCACTTGATCCCCATCAGACATTGACGAGTGTTCACAGATGAACATCTGCGATGAGCACGCCTCCTGCAGTAATACCCAGGGCTCCTACAGTTGCGCCTGTAATCCTAAATACATTGGGGATGGTCTGACTTGTAAAGGTTAGTCTCTTTTAATCCATGCCTTATATATTTTTTAGAGATGGTACTGGCTGAACTCGCTGTAAATGATGTTGAGTGAATGGCTATGCTTGTTTGGCCATGTAACAAATCTTGGAAACGTCCTTCGACAAAACATGGGGGATAAAGAAAGATAGATTTGATTTTTTACATCATATTTGTGGACTTGATGCGCATTGTTTTTGTCCACCAGGAGAGGAAATAATTTTTTTCTTGATGATGCATAACTGTTCTGCAATTGAATTATATTGATGATGTTTCAATTAAACAGAATAGTCTGATTGGTTAAAATCGATGTTGACCGCAGTTACGATTTTCTCACTCTGACCTAATAAGGTGGGTGATTCCTCAAAAAAAAAAAGTCATCTAACAATTTTATTAGTCTGCCCTTAAATGTTTCCAACCAATGGCTGTTTCGACAAATGCAATAAGAAAGGCAGGTCACCGTGCTTGTTTGAGAGAAATGACGGGCCAAACTTTCCTCATTTATGCCTCTATCAGCAATTTTTCACGCGCGTCATTTCAAGGTACATTTTTCGGTAGCTGGAAGCAAGGGTTTTCGAAGTAAAAATGAAAAAAAAAAACTTCAAAGGTACAAAGTTTCGAGCGCGGGGAAAATTTTATATGTAATTTGCGGAAATTATTTATATATATTAGCAATTATTATTGCTCAAAACGTTCCTCGCGTCGTTGTTTTCAAGGTAATAATTTTCATCATCAAGTAACACGCTTTTAGCTATGTCTTTTTTTTTGCCTTCGATAATTTTTCTTAATTTCTCCAAATTCTTAATTTCTACGCAAAAAATATGCAATGAAAAATAGAGGTCACCGCGCTCGTTCAAGAGCTAAAGAGCATTGTACCTGTTTGCTCGGTCTATTTATTGAAAAGCAATACCATGTTCTCGGAATGCGTGCGCTTATTTGCCTGATTACGTGTTTTTATGCGCAGTACAAGATGCCCAGTGCAATACTGAGGAATCACCTTTAGGCTGATAGTAATATTCAGTTTGGTTTGTTTATTTAAATAGTAATTAATGGAAGAATATTTGTCCAAATAAGGAAAACGTAGACAAATTTGAGTGTAGCCGACGAAACTACGAGCATAGTATGAAGTCGAAATTGAAGACTTTTGCAGACAGAAATCCAACAGCACTTAATGCAATACTAAGAGTGACTTAAACCGAAGGAAGAAGATTTTGTCAGTCACTGGAAAAGGCTCGAACAAAACTGCACTAACCAAAAAACTTTACAAGGCGCGATGAGCGATTCAACTTCTCAATCATGTCTTTGGGCTGTTAAATCGGGCAAGGTTTCGTCAATTTAAAGAAAAGGTTAATTACAGTAACGCTCATTTTCAATTTAATCAAACTCCTCCTCTTGAAGTTCTTTCCTTAAGGAGTCGCATATTTCAAACACTTTCGGTATTTTCTGTCAAATTTACGAGACTTCAAAGCTGAACAGTTTCATTTACACGGTGCTGGCACTTACCGCGATTTCAACTTGACTTTTTACAACGCGAATTTTTGATTGGTTTATTTGTTGTCAGATGCACGATTTGATTGGCTATTAGAAAACACTGTCGTCCAAAGCAAGTGTTGAGAAAATATTTATCAGTCATGATATAAACAAACAACATTTACCTTCCTCTGTAACGTTATTGGAGAGATATGCTTATAATATATAGGGCACTTTTTCCCGTGTTTACATTTTCTCATTTAAACACTCGAGGCTAGGAAATTTCTTGAAAGTTATGCAAACCCTTGACTGCGTATCGGGTTCGCATAACTTTCCCAAATTCTCCTAACCTCCTCTCGTGTTTAGATGAGAGTTTGTAAACACGGAAAAAAAGGTTCTCTATTGCTTAAGCAGTAATCGGCTCTCAACGAAGTTGTAATTGCATATCTGCTCAGTTTGAAGAAAAACCAGTTACTTCAGTACAATTCCATTACGACACAGAAAACTTTTTCACGGTCAAATAATTCTAGCCCTGGGAAATTTTTACGGGAGCACCTATTAACAATTTTGATGGCTTTACATTCATCAACAACCTTTTTTGTGGTAGGCAGTCGATGATTGCAGGGCTGTATGAAAAGCGATCACCGAACGATCGCGCCACAGTCATGCATTGAAATTAGTTGAGTATGGTAACTTTTAAAGGATTTTGTATTGAGGCTGTATGACAAACTCGGCTATTTTGTACTCATTCAATAAATAGAGAATAATACTTGGGTGCGCTTTGATTTGGAATTTCTCTTCGAATGTTCAACTTGTTATCTCGTGAGTGAGAGCAGCGAACGAGTAAAATATCGAGCAAGAGAATATAAACTGTTATAATCTCTTGGTATCGAGATAAACACGAGAAGAGAAGTTCCATATCTGCAAGCGACCATCTATTATTTTGTTTATCATGTAAACACAATAGGCCTTTACTGGGAAGAAAAGTCGTCTTTTTTAAAATATGAAATTATAGGTTTCACAATCCGCAAAAAAAGTCGTATAGCGCGTCGGCGATAAGGCTCAAGATGAAAAAATGCGTTGAACCATTACAGAAACAGACAATGGGCGTAGCTTTCTTTTCACAAAATTCTCAGTTATTGACTTTTTCCTTACCGACAAAAGAAATATTTTCATGTACACGGCCGAAATCGGCCTGCGGCAAATCTTCCAGTTGTCGATTTTCGTTCTCAGCCACGAGAAATACCATTACCCAGGTCAAGGACCTAACTTTAGGTTTATTTTTTCGTATTTGTTTTACTTTCCCTTCTAGGAAATTTTGAGGTTAGAAATACGAATTTTTCTCTTTTTTTTTAGCTGCCATAATTCGAGAAAATCTCGACATGCGACCCTGGATTGAGAACGGTCATCGCTTTGCCATTCATTTATTAACCTGACACAGCTGATTAGTGATATCAAACACATGTAAAAAATTATCGTAATATTACACGCGCGTTTAACAAGGATTTCCTGGCTCTTCTCTGGGCGGGAAATCGTTTCAAACCACCGCACGTTATATAATAGCTTTTTTTTCTTAAGCTTTCTTACAACGTAACATATAAAACATCACATTAACCGAAATTCAACTTTTTAGCCGATCCGTGCTATGATTACAGAAACCTGAGCGATGCTGACAGAAAGAGCACTTACAACACACCCTACGGTGGAGAAAAATGTGACGACGAATCCTCATCCTTAATATTCGGGAAATGGTATCGTTTCGTGGGAGATGCAGGAACAAAAATGCCAACCCAGTGCGTACCGGATAATAGATGTGGTGCGCTCTTATCAGGCTGGCTAAAAGGTGGTCACCCCACATTGGCAGATGGTGAGGTTTCCTCCGAGGTCTGCTTTACCAGAGGTGGAGACTGTTGCAAGAAATCAGTAAACGTTCGAGTGAAAGACTGCGGATCCTACTTTATATACAAACTACAAAAGCCACCTGCTTGTGATCTGCGCTACTGTGGCACAGACTAAGTGCTATAAGCAAGTCACTCTGCACAGTGAAAGGATTCACAAATCGATTTATTGGTAAATGTAAATTAATGTATAACAAGGAATGTAAGAATTTCACGTGATCCCCTTTTCATGATTAGTGTTAAACAGTGAGAAGTTTGAACACAAGAGTACCACTGGACCGCGACGTTTGATCCTCCAAGTAAGAGTACTCCTGAGACGATGTGACTGAAGGTAGTCAGCAATAATGACTGACGTTTCTATAACCTTGGCGGAGTCTTTGACTTATCGTTCATGTGACATCAAAAATTTTTCAACAATTATCTTAGAGTTTTGATAAGTAAGTTTAGGCTGGACGGTCTCAAGTCTATTTGACCATGTAACCTTTATATCTGAAAAAAAAACTGAAAATAACGAATATGAAATCGAATGTGAGTCTGACTTAGTTGAACTGTAATGATTTTATATCAGCTCGGACGAAATGAAATTATAACTCACCTTCTTCACCCGCAACTTTAATTATCAATAAAGACAACAGAGCGACCAAGAAGCAAACTTTTCTGGAAAAGCCATGGTAAAGACTAAATTGAGTCGCTATGTAGGATCATCGCTTGTGACCTCTCAAAAGATTTGATGTTTGTTTACTTCTTCTGTATGCAGAGATTTCTAATCTTACAATAGGGAGATGTGGATTTTCTTTGCGACTTTGTGCCTTGCAGGGCCTGTGATTGGCTCAGAATTTAGCTTAGGCGGCATTCGGTCTGATTAAGGTAAATAAAACTCATTGAAAATGTTGATTGAACAGCATGCGAAATATTCCGCTAATGAGATAACTGTAAACAGTGTTATAATTGCGCTTCTAGGTTTTGAAAATTATTTGACCACATGATGATCGACTAAAGGAACAGGTTTTATTGTTTTTCCTAGAAGATCAAAATATAATTCTTTACCCTTCCTTTGCCGTCACTGAAGCCAGTAGACATGGAATAAAGGATGTGGCTTGGACTAATTAATGAGGTGTCTGAAAAAGGAACAGGTTCAAAGCTTGTTCTCCGCACGTCAAGTTTAAATCGAGAAAAAACTCCCTACTTTTGTTGATGCTCTGTTACCAAGATGAGAAAATCATTTTATTTGTGGATACATGTATTCTCATTATCTGTTTCCTGGACAATGAATGGAATTTGTAGGGAGAAGTGACAGGTTAATCGCCTCTGGGAGTCAAAGGGTTAACCAGCCGGGGTTGGCTTTACCACATTTATAACTATCCACGCAGGTTGTTGGAGTTCTAGTTCCTCCAAATCTCCTCAAAATACAAAATCTTTGAAGTATTATTCTATCTTTCGGTAGAACTGCCTAGATATTCGGTCTTTTCCAACAATAGAAACTACTGCTCTTAGTTGACTGAGTCCTTAAATTATAATCATTTACAACGTATTTCAAAACATTCTGGAATTCGAAGCTTACAACACAACTATTGTGGTAGAAATAGTTCATAATTACATAGACTAATAGAATGTTCTAGTTTTCCTTGCTATGTCATCAGAAATTTTGAGTATCAATGTCATAGTGACTAAGAATTCTAGAAATTATTTACAGTCCCTATCCATAACACACCTAACACGATTTAAAAATCCTTGTAAATGATGATGCTAATGAAATCGTGACTTAACATGGTAAACAACTTGCATATAATCACGGACCGCCGTGACCCATCGAGAATAGCAACTACATGTAGAGAAGGCGTGGGTATCAAGAGCTGCTTTAGTTTCCGCTAACGACCTGAATAAACATCAAGAGTTCAAAACGTTTTGTAATAGGCAAAATACAATGCTCAAAGTTGTGCTTAAAACTTACTCAGTGAAGCACTTCGATTGGAATAGATAAAGATGATATTAAGATTATTTGGAAGCTCACTAATGCCCATAGTTGTTCTGATACTCGGAAAAACAACAATTGTTGAGTCGACTCTGATGACTCTCTTCTTCTTCTTCTCTTTACGCTAATCACCCTGAGGGAGTTTCTCTCTCTACGAGTAGTTAAGAAAAAGCTTAAAGTTGAGAGCAAGTGTGGACTTTATGTCTCATCCGCATGAATCGAACTAACTGGTAAGATCACCAAATAATAATAATAATAATAATAATAGTTTATTAAACTCTCTTGCAGTAACTTACTGAATTAATGCGTTATAATACAATGAAAACTTAATGAGATCAACTATGTACATGTCTGTATATGTTAAGTACAAATTATATGCACCACACCAGAACATGTATCACATTTGTTAGAAATACTTAAAAATACTTAAAAGTGAAAAAGTCTTCGGTGCGCTTTGTTCTACAGGTAGTAACGTTTCTGTAAAAGTACCGCTGGTCTGATTTGTGCCTTAGGGTGTAGGGACAGGTACTGTCTAGGCGTGTTGTTAGAAGAGGATGAAGAGGGTGGTTTAAGTCCTTCATTTTGTACATATACTCTTTACATATCTTATCTCTTCTATACGCAAGAGTCTTCACTCGTGCTAACTCGAGGGCATCTAAGTAGCTATCAGCACACGGGAAAATATCTTAAGCGCCCTTTTCTGTATGGATTCAATTATGTCAGGCAGATAACCTGAAATGGATTGCCACAACGGCACCGTGTACACTAGAAGAGATCTAACAGAACTTGTATATACCTTTAACATGCTACCTTGGTCAACGCCGGCTCGACATAGAATATATAGGGAGTAGAGCTTCTTGCAAGCTTTTTTATATATGTAGTCAACATGACTATTCCACCCTAAGTCGATACACGTTCTATACAGTTGTTACCAACAACTAATGGTCTGAGAGTAAAGTTAGGATATGACATAAAGTTAATTAACATCTCTTTACATTTTATAGAGTTTAGACTCATGTTGGGATCCATAGAGAATTTGTGAATGTCAGATACAATCGAATTGAGCAGACTGATAGAGTTCCTGGGTAGTATTTCTATGGCAGACATATCATCCACAAACTTGACTCTCAAATGCCAATCAGCTGAAAGATTGTTTGTCATTATTGTGAAAAGTATCACTCCTAGTTTTGTTCCCTGAGGCATACTCTCTGCCTGCTCTCTGTCTGTTAGGAACGCCGCAATCCAACTGATGAGCGCGGGATCAACCTCTAGTTTTCGCAACTCAGTCATTAAGATGTTATGGTCAATTATAGTCAGCGAAGAAGACCCGGGCTCCTAGATGAGCACAATCTACTTCCTCGTAAATGGCTTGTAACATGAATAGAAGAGCATCTGTTGTCGAGTGGCCTCTACGCGCAAACTGTCGCGGGTCGATTTTTCCATGTAATTGTGGCAGTAGTTTATTGCGCGTGAATCTCTCCATGACTTTAGCCAGTGTACACGTGAGTGATATCGGGCGGAGTTCGCTCTTTATTTCTCTTGGTGGGTTTACCTTCGGGATTGGGATGATGATGGAAGATTATAGAGGTGATGGGATGTATCCCTCCTTAAGAGACTGGTTATAAATGTTTCGGAACTAGCTCGTGTACAAAGTTCTTAAACAGTTTATTTGGGATGTTGTCGGGTCCTACAGCTTTCGCAACGTTAAACGTCAGGGATCGGAACACTTCCTCGTTGGAGACCAAAAGTTCCTGTGGTACTAGGCTTGGGGGAGAATCACCGGTCAAAGGTGTAAATTGGTCTGTAAGACTTACAAAAAGTCATTAATCTTATTTGCAAGTAATTTGGTATTCATGGTATCCCCAAGAAATTGATGGTATCACTCCTGCTAAGTGTCTTGGCATGGAGTGACTTTACTTGCCTCCACCACTTACTGGAATTAGTGGATTCCACTTGAGCAACTTTATCATGACAGTAGTGATTTTTAGCTTTTTTGACCTCGCCCTGGACCTTGTTCCTCCAAAATTTGTAATTCGAAGAGTCCCTTCCATGTCTGAGAAATGCAGATTGTCTTTTTATACTGCGCTTCGAAGATTTCAGTTTTTTAGAGATCCAGGGACGGTCAGTTGTGTGTTTCTTAACTACTTTTCGTGGAAGGAAGGAATCAATAGCAGAAGTAAGTTCCATCATCAACAGCCTGAACTTGACTTCACAAGACTCAGTATTAAGAACCGAGTACCAATCCTTCTCGGTCATCCATCGCCCCAGCGCACGCCATGCACTGTCGCGCATATCGCGTGACTCTATTTTCTTAATGACCGGTTTGTGTTCGGATGATATCATTGGTCTGGCCAAGATGGTATAATGATCAGATGAAGCGACTTTGGGCAATTGCGATAATCAAGGATATTAAAAAGCCTCCTCAGTCAAAACAAAAAAATTCAGAGATTTTAACTCAGACTGGCTTCTTATGATAAAAATCAATGCTGGAATGTTGCCTCTTCCAAACTGGGCCATTGCCCGATTATACGAAGTTACCGGTATGCTAAGAATTCCAAATCGATTTGTCAAAGAAACAGAGATATGTGTCTTCAAAGGCAAAATCGAATTCAAAATATATTATATTCAATATCAGATAAATATAGAGTCGTAGAATGCCCTAGACGCATTAGAAATTGTTTCAACTTCAAATATTTCTCATTTCTAATGAAATACACGATTCAGTTTGTTGTGCTCCAATTTTCTTAGTTGGAGACTATATCCATACTGCTATAGTGTTGTTCGTAAATTGAATTTATAATTGTAACAGGACCGAGTGGAGTCTAATTTCGCTCTTTCATGAGTATGATTAAAGACCGAATTGGACAACTCGAAGTCCCGTTACCAATTAATCATAACCATTGCAATTTAAGAAAATACATATGCATGTGTATTTACTCTACTTTCGGTAGAGACACTGCTTTGTAGGGTAAGTGGTTGTTGCTAGGTTATTGTAATAATCAACTCTGTAAATGGGGGATTTGGCAGAGTGGACTTAATATGTTTGGCCGCTTTAACTGTCCGATTACAGGTGTCCAATTACGGTCGACTGTCCGATTACAACTCTACAGATTAATTAGTGCTACAATAAAGCGGCTAACAGGACATTGAGGACATTGTAATGGTTATGACTGGTCTTGGAGGAGAGAGAGGCGAAACTGTTATGTTTTGTTACTTATACAACTCGTAAGTTTCATTACTCTATTAGCTTTGCTTGGTCCCTAAAAAACGCAACTGGTTCTTTGCCTGTCTATACTACACCATAAATGGTGCTAATCAAATCTGATTTAATTTCCCAAAGATTTCTGCAAAATGGAATTTACATCTTCTCTTGCTTTCCCTGGCAAACGGCTCATAAACCACCTGATACGAACCGTAGAATCCCCTGTGCAAGACTT